CCCAGCAATAGGGTCGAGGAGATCTTGAACCGAACCTCATCTCCGAGTTAGGTCTCTGAAGACCCGGGTGGGGTGAGGTAGGGAGCGCCCCGTCCTGCCTCTTCTGCGCCCCTGGATCGCGTCGCAGAGACTCAGGTCTTCCCCACCCCTTCCCAAGCCTTCCAGGGCCAGGCCTGCGGCCTAGACGTCCAGGGAGCCGGTCCCTCCCCGGCAACAGGTCGGGGAGGAGCAGGATGGGAGCTGCAGAGACGTCCCTACTCCTCAGTGTTCGTTGAACCCCGGGAGTGTTAGACGCGTTGGGGATCGGGGAGGGGGGCGGATGGCGGCACCTCTCTCCCTCGGATTCCTTCTGGGGCCTCAATCCGAGCCGCTCTCCAACCCTCGCCTCGCATCTTCTGCCAAATCCGAATTCTTCCAGCCCTGCTTCCCGGGCTCTGTCGTCCATAACGAATAATAATGACGCATATCAAATCGCATGGACTTATCCGACCTCCTCAGACCCCGCTCCTGCCCTGCCCCGGGACCCCCTCCCTCATACCCGGGCATTCGGTGTTGGAGAACGGATTCCTGGGGCCCGCCCGGCAGGCAGCCCTGGGCACGGCCCTCCACACCTCTCTGTATTCGCTTTGCGGGTAAAGCCCCCTGGGGGGGTTGCGGATGCGTCGGGTTTCTTTCTTTCCTGTATTTGTACGTTTTATTTATGAACGGATTGCACTCGGGTCAGGGAAGGGGCGCTGAGGCCCCTGTCCTTCCCGCCGACGCCGGGGGCTTGGGATGTCCAGGATCACTTTCCCCGCCCCTGAACCCCTCCCTACCTGGGCGCCTCTTGGGAGCCCCAGGCCCCGCCCTCACTCTGTTGCCAACTTACGCCCGTCTATGCCAAAGCCTCGGCGGTGACCCCGCCCCAAGGGCCCGCCCCATTGGCCGCCGCCTTTGTGACGTCACTGCATGCAGCCCCAACCCTCCTCCTGTCCCTTCCCGGGGCTGCCCGTTCCCTGTCCCTCTTAGTTAGTCCGAAGCCAACTATAGAGCAATAATGCGCACTGCATGCCAAGCTGCCGCCGCCTCTAGAGTTACTGAGAATCAGGTATCCCCTGCCCAACCCACCCCATAGGCCCCTAGATCAGGGACGCTGCGCGGGGCCGGATGCGCAGACTTTCTTCCTCCTCCTCTTCCCTCCCCCCCTCCCTCCCACGGCAGAGGCCGGCGGGTGTAATGGTTCCAGGGGCAGGGGCAGGGTGGTTGCCCCCCAAGGCCCCTCCTTCATTTGTACATCACCCACTGACCGTTCATTAGGCACTTATCATGTGCCAGGCCCTCTGCTGAGTCCACCTGGGACCTGGCGACCTGCACGGGGTGCATGTTCTTGACAGGAGCCCAACGGGCTTGGGTGGGCCAGGGATGGCGGCAGATGCAGAGAGCTGCCGTCCCTAGACCCCAACCTTGGGCCCCTCACTCCTCCCCACTGTAGCCCGGGGCCAGTGCTCGGCACGGTGGGACTCTGCCTTTGACTTGGGTTCTCAGCTCAGGCGGCACAGACCCAGGGCCCCAAGGCCCAGTGCCACCAGGACCCACATACTAACTCCCATTCCTTCCATCCCCTGGCAGTGGCGGCTCTGCCATGTCAGGCCAGGGCCCCAGGCCACACGAAAAGGTGCCCACTGGAGTGTATTACCAGGCTGGCCCCATCCCCGTGGGTATCAAGCCCGGCTGCCATCCAGCTGCACCCGCAGGGGCCAGCGGGCCCGAAGGCCCACCACAGCAGGGCCATGTCCAAACCCTTTATATCCCAGGTCGGTATTCACACAGCTCCCAAGCCGCGGCCTGCCCGCCTGTGCCGGGCACACCCGCATGCACACGCACATACAGGCATCCCACCATACCCCACACGCCTATCTACCTACCTAAGGAGAAGGCTGGAGGGCCGTGAGCCGGCCAGGGTCTCCCGCTTCTCCCCACACCCCGCCGCCGTGGAAAGCCATGGGCCCCCTCCTGCCCCCATAACTAAGCAGCACAATAACCGACTTAGCGAATTCAGGTAGAAGGAACGTTTAGGTAGCACCTATTTTGTACTGATTCTACGAGTAGGGCCCGAGATGCGGGGGCCCTCGGGTGGGGGCTGCGGCCGCCGGCCCGCCCTGCCCCCACCCTTGCCTGCGCCCCGCCGCCTTGTACATACTCCCACCCGGAACAGGCCGGGATTTTTACTCGGGCCGCGCCCCTCTTCCGCCCCCGTTTGGGGCCGGGCCGGCCGGACAGACGGACGGACGGACAGACCTCCTTCCTAAGCACAATAGCACCAGCTCCCCGGAGCGCCGCACCTCCACGAGGAGAATAAATGCCACTCTTGATAGAACTTGCAGTGTTGGGCTGATATATACAGGGCTGGGCCGGTGCTGCAGGGTGTGCTGGGGACGTCTGCCGCGGGGTAGGGGTGGGGTGGGGGTGGGGAGGGGCGCCTTCCCCGTCCTGCCACACATCAGAGATCCGGCAGGTGCAGGCCCAGCAAGGGGACTGGCAGCCTCCCCAGGAGGCCCTGGAGTCACGCCACTACACTTTGCTAGGCTGCACCTGTGTCCCTTTTTGCAAGAAGTTAGTCTTCCACCTGGAGGGCCGACTTGGTAGGCTAAGCACGAGCGCCCACCCCTGAAGGCAAAGCGGTTGGCATTGCTCCCGTGGCAGGTGAATCTGCTCTGTGCCAGGAACAGGGGAGCTAAGGGACTCTAGCCTTCAGCCAGGCCCAGCCCAGGACTGAACTAGAATGGCCAGAGTAGGTACCACAGGGCCCGCAGTCCTATGGCCTTGGGTGCCCCCACTCTGTAGGAGCTCCTGTTGCCCCTGCAGGCCTGGCAGCCACAGCAAGCCTTCCTCCATGTCAGGCCAGGGCCCCAGGCCACATGAAAGGTGCCCGTTAGAGCGTATTACCTAGAGGACATGGGGACTACAGAAGTGGTGAGGTCTGACACTTTCCTGTAGCCTGCTGTCCACATTCTGACTCCCAAACTCAGGGGATGCGTTCCCCTACCGTCTGAGGTGGCCTCCAGAGACAGCTGGGCCAGGCTGGTTCTGGGGAAGAGGTGCCCAGGGGAAACAGAAGCTTCCACAGTTACTCACAACCCTCGGGCTCCAGACAGGATGAGTCTAGTTGAGGAGACAGGGGCAGAGCTGTGCTGGGCTCAGACAGCCCAGGGAAATGGACCCTCCTGCCGAGCAAATGTCCCCATGCACTCAGGTATGGAGGCAAGAGCTGAGAGGCCTAAAATCTTTGGAGACGGGTAGTCAAAGCAGGTTAGCCCAGGGCCAGCACAGCTGTCTACACCCTGGCAGGAGACAAGCCCACCCAGACTCTACTGGTATGGACAGCAGGGGAGCCTGATCAGCAGCGGGTCACAGCCTGTGGGCCGGCTGCTCAGGGTGGGGCTCACAGCAGGGTGGGTGACCCCTTCTGGGGAGCACTGTCAGACTTAACCTCAGGATTGAAAGCCCCTGGCACTGCTGGAGGTCAGGCCCTCTGGCTCAGAAGTCCTTGACTTTCAGGGTCCCAGGTTAGGTAGGCAGCACTGCCTAATTTGCATATGAAGAATCTGAGCCTCAGAGAGAGAATAGCTGGTTCGAGGGCTTCCCTTGACCAAAGTCCTGCCCCAGAACCCCGCCCACCCTGCGCTGGGCTTCACACATGCATGGGTGCCAGCGGCAGGGAGGGGGGCTCCTTAGAGGTCCGCTCCTCCTCAGGGCTCCAAAGCTGCTGGGTCTGGACTGACTGTTTCTGCTCCTCCAGGACTCTGAGGTGTGGCAGGGGAAGGATAGAGGCTGCCTCCCCAGGGCCCTGCATGAGCCCGTCCTTGTCTCCATAGGTATCTGTGGACAGGACTGTGCATCCCAGAGAATGGGCAGCACAGGCTTCTGAACTCTGTGTCCAGAGTCTTCTTGCTGGCCGCACCCCTCCCAGGCCCTCTTGGCCTCCCCAAGTCGCCTCCAACCTGGAGTCAGCCCAAGGCCTTTTCTAAACTCCCAAACCCTTCAAGCCCTTTATTCGGCCAGGCCCACAAGACTCCTCTCCTCCGGCCCAGGCCCCCCTAATCTGTTGCCGCCTCAGCAAGGAGATTACCCACTGAGCTTTCTTCTACAGCTCCTCACACACATTTGTCCCCAAACAACCCCACCTGCCTTGACCTTCTCCCTCTCCCCTGGCGCCCTGAGCTGCACCCCACCCAGGATTCTGAGGTGCTGGAGCTGTGGTGGAGGAGCAGGGGTGGTAAGGGGTGGTAAGGGGTGGTGGTGTAGACCCACTTCCCTCCCAGAGGCCGCCCCACCCATCAACAACAGGCCCCACCTCCATCAAGCAGGCCCCGCCCCTGTTGATGCAGAGACTCTTCCTCTTTGGTTCGTTCACAGCCCATGCCTTCTCACTGGCTCGAGGCTCTGATTTCCTCCTCTCTCAACGCCAGCGCAGGAACCTTGGTTCCTCCTTGGCCCCTGATCAGATTGGTCCTCCCTGGTGGCTCCCGGTCCTCTCTGGTCGCCTCACTCCTGCTGCCTCTTGCCAGCCAACGGCTTGGAGCCCGGATGCGGACACAGGCAGCCGCCTCCAACACTGCCCTTCACTCCTCACTGGCTACCCAACTCAGCCTCTCCGGGCCTCCTGGCAGCCTGAGCCATCAATCTTCTCCTCTGCCAATGGGGTGACAGCCCGGCCAGCCCTCTAGTTCTTGGCACTGTACTGGGGGATGGCATGGCCAGGCGAGCAGAGACATGTGGGAGCGTGTGCCTGACTTCCCGCGACCTTCCAGGAAGTGGGGACCAGGGAGTGGGGAGGGAGGGGCAGAGCTCCCAGGGCTCACCCCTACTCTGTGGGCTCCTAGGTCTTACCTCCCTTGGGATCAATACTCAGAAAGGCCAAGGTCTGCCTGGCCCAGCCCAGCTGATGAACAGATGAGCGTTCTGGCACCCTGGATAGGGGACAAGGCTGGTCGTGACCCACTGAGGCCAGGCTCTGTGTGCATGCGAGAGGGGTTCTCTCGCCCAATCAGGGAGGACCCTTCAGCAAGGTAGTCTTACCCTGCCAGGTAGGGAGGCCAGGCTGGCATCGGCTTCACATGGGCCAGTGACTGCACAACGTGTCATAGGGGCCCAGGTGACTGTCGTGGAGGTGATGGATCAGGAGCTAGCCTGGCAGGAAGGCGGTGGCCAGTCCATAGGTGAAGCTGCTGACCTCAGGCTGAGCCTCTTGCTTTATTTGCTGTCAGAAGGGCACTCTTCTTGGCCTTGCTAAGGGGAGTGAATGGCCAGTAGGTTCCGCTGGTAGGGCTGTTTCTTGGGTAAAACTAGGCCTGAGCCCCCACTGTACCCTCACATTCGGAGATCCAGAATGTTCACACTCCATGCTCTGTGCAAAATGCCACTCTAGCCAAGGTGGGGCATGCACTTCAGGCCGCACCATGCAGTTGTTATAGTGGGTTGATTGCTTCATTTAACAGCTGGTTGATTGCATAGACTGCAATGACACTGAAGCCTTCAGGATTCTCACGCCCTGGCAAAACTGGCCTGGGTGGGAAACGGGGGAGGCTCTGCAGGTCTACAGATGTGGATGGAAGGGGCTGGATGGAGAGACAGGCCAGTGTGCCCATGGAGGCGGGCAGGACCCTCAGCCCACCCAGGCCCAGCCCATTACCCAACAAAAGTTCGCGGGCCTGATGCTCGGTGAGGCCAAACAAACCAAAAGGTTGTTTGGAGCAGAGATAGGTTTATTGCAGGGCCAAGCAAGGAGGACGGGTGGCTCCTGCTTGAAAACCCCGAATTCCTTAATGGTTTTTTGGAGAAAAGTTTTTGTAGACAAGACTTGGCATGAGGGCTGCTGGGTATCTGACTTCCTGATTGGCTGGTGGCGAGGTAACAGGGCAGCATTCTAGGAATTCGTGCTCAGACTGAAGTTGCTATCCTCCACCTTGGGGAGCCATAGTTCCAACAGAACTCAGAGATACTGTTATCTATGTTCCTTGAGGAGGAACCAGGACCCTGCCACAGGGCTGCACTATTATTTCTTGACTGTTCCTCCTTTGTTTCTGCTTTCCCTCCTTTCCCAGATTAGCAACTATTTGAATCTGCCCTTTAGAACTCAGGGAAGGTCAAGGAGGCTGAATGAAGCCTATTTCTTACAAACAAGAAATGGAGCACACAGAATGGACTTGTACCAGAGAGGACCGCACAGGGTCCTGCTCTGTTTCAGGCCTGCAGGGGAGAGGTGGTGGCCCTGGGAGTTGATGGGCAGGGCAGGCTTGCCGGGACGCGGGGCTTGGGGCCTTTCTCCTGCCCTATCCTCTGGCCTGGCATTTCTCTGAACAACCTAAGCCGAGAAAAACGGGGTGCCTACTGTGGTAACTGGAGGGTTCGTGGAGCAGGACTGAGCCACCAGGCGCGGCAACCCCAGCAGACACGGCCCCGGACCCTGGCGGCCTGACTCAGGAGTCATTTCATAAATAACCCACATCCCCACACTCGCGCCTGGGCTAAGTGACGAAACTCTGTGTTTATAGAGTGGGACAAGGGGCAGGCAGCAGTCAGGGGAGGCGCGCGGCTGCTAGGAAGCCGCCTCGGCTCGCATCCCCTCTCCGGCTCGCGCCGGGCGACCACAACTCCCAGAGTGCCCCGCGCGCTCGCGGACTACAAATGGACACGCGCCCGGCCCTCGGGCCAGTTAG